GTTTTCAAAAAACCTTGTGATTGGATAGTCTTCCTATAGAGCTTGAGTCACAGAAAGTTTACAATACGTGTCGTGATAAAGCCAAGATCATTACATTTAGATATGCTTGCCACAAAAAGAAGAAAAAAGAAGATTTGAAAGGGGAGGGGCACATCTACAATCCTGGTCTAAACGGTTTGGGATACTTCCATTACCCCTCCCCTTTTTGGTAGGAAATTGGAGATACGAGTGACTGTCAATTTAAAGTTTTCAATATGGCTATGCCAGGGTCTATCCCTCCCCCACCCACCTGAACATAGTTGAAGTTCATACACTATAAAAGATTTTTCAAAAGTTTTTGGCCTTAACATCCAACACAGGGAAAGGGGGATTATTGGAAAATGCACGGATCATGTGTAATGACTAAGTTTCCTAAACGTTTTGACCAGGATTGTAGGTCAACTAATATTGTGCCCCTAGTAACGTAATATTGGAAACTATTGTAGGTTCTAATAAATAGTGATTTAAGTTGAAAACGACATAGAAAAAAGGGGAAATTTATCAATAAATAAAAAAATATACGTTTCACCAGTATTGAGCGAGATACCAGTGCAAAATGGTTTTAGGTATGAAGAGCAAAGTATTAAAACATCCAATAGCAGGAATACCTGACAATTTATAGAAAAACTTCACTTACTTTACAGTTGTTATTTTTTTTACAATGCTGAATGCAAAAAGTGTTTTCACGTGCATGTTTTGTACTAGATAGTTACAGGTCTGTTGTTTTGTACTGTGCACCACATAGACCTATTCTGCTAACTCAATGTTGTACCCAATTCAAATCTCTAGGGGTTAAAATTCTTTGTGTCCTGTATTTGCATTATAATGTGGCATTCTCATTTAATGATATGAAAATTCCTGAAACAAAACGTTTTATTCCCAAAGGGTTTGAATTGGGTACAACACTGAGTTAGCCGAATAGGTCTATATATTGCTACCTTCCTAGCCGTTCGAAATATTACGATGGCTTATCTAATCTGGTGCGAGGCAAAATGAAGCCGACTTTTAGAATCGTATCAGATTGTGACATTACTGGTTCTGCAAGTAATAGAAGCAACACGCCCTTGGAATGGAGTAAGTGAGTAGAGAGGGCGCAGGGGGGAGGGACTGTGGGGCGCTAAGGCCCCCCCCCCCTCCCAACCACTTTTCAACAGTAAAAAGCAGTTCATACTAAAAAAAATTAAAGTTACTTTTCTATGAACGTTTTACCGAAAACTAATTATTCACAACTATCCCGGCCCGGCATTGAAGGACGAGGTATATTTAACAATTAGTCGTCGAAGGCGACGTGAATATCGGCGAATAGTCACCTCGACGATACAATGGTCACGGGTCCGCTCGGGCGGTTGCGGAAGGTTCATGGGGTAATGATCATTTTCTTTGCCAAAAACGTGATAGGGAACTTGAAATTCGCGCAACTCAATTTTGAAGACCGAACTCAACCACTCTTTAAATGTCGACCATAAGCGCGTTACTCCTACACTACGTTATGGCGAATTTTATTTAATCTTTGTATGAAATCCCATGGTGTTAAAAAATGAAACCAAATCAGCAGTACTTTCACATACCGTCAGGCAGTGAAACCCAGGAGCAGCAAATGGGAAATTTACCTGGGTGTAGACTTGAACCTGGAATGGTATTCAGAAACACTGGGGTTGATTTTTTTGGTCCTATGATAATGGAGGGGACACGCAGTGAAGTTAAGGTTTACGGTTGTTTGTTTGTTTGCATGGCTGCTAGAGCTTGCCATCTTGAACTGGTGGACGACCTGTCAACGGATCTTTTCATAATGGCTTGAAGAGGTTCGTTGCGCGGTGTGGAAAACCACAAAGAATATACAGCGATAAAGGAAACAACTTTGTAGGGGTCAATGATGAGCAACTTAAGCAACTGAATGAAGAGAAAGTACAAAACGTTTGTGTACGAAAGGAGATTGAGTGGAATTTTCCATCGCCAAGTGCACCCTACTTCGGTGGTGAGTGGAGGAGGTTAGTGCAGTGTACAAAGAAAACCTTGAAGGCTGCGCTGCAAACCAGGATCGTTGCTAGAGAAGCGCTTAAAACTGCTCTGGTGGAGGCAGAAGGGATGCTGAACAGTCGAACCATTCCACATGTCTCAAGCGATGCGGGTGATATAGAAGCGCTGACGTCAAATCATTTTCTGCTTCTGCCAGCAAACCCGAGTTATGAAGAGGCCTATGGTAATGAGAGAGATCAATTCAACGAAACTATTGCGACAGTCTCAAGCGCTTGTCAACTTCTTCTGGAAGCGCTTTGCCAAGGAGTATATCCCTAGTCTTATAGAGAGGAAGAAGTGGAAAGAGAAGAGAAAGAATCTGAAGGAAGCAGACGTAGCGCTTGTTGCAGAACCGAACCAGCCACGAGGAATATGGAATTTGGGTAGGATTGTGTCTACTCATCCTGGACAAGATGGAGTGGTCCGAGCAGTCAGAGTGCGTACTCAATACGGGGAGCACAAAGACCAATCACAAAACTGTGTTTCTTAAAGGAAGCGGAGACCTACAATCCTCGTCATATTGGTTGGGACAATTGGGATGTTTTCTGCCCTCCCAATGTTGGTTTGTGCCAGTTGGCATTACAGAAGCAAAAAACTCAACACTTGGAGAGAAAGAACACAACGTTTTGTGGCTTTTGCACCGGGTGTCCCAACTTAATGTTACGAGGATTGTAGGTCTACAAACTGTAAATTGTCTTGACTTTGTGTCGCGACTAGCGGCGGGGATGTACGTCCGCTTCCGGTTTTGGGCGCAATCTTGATTGACTCTTGAATGAACACGTGACAATGAGGAATGAACACATGTGTTTCGAGTTTTTGGCTTTGAGAACAGTTAATAGGTGCGGATACACACACCATGGTAAAAGGCTTTCCCGTAGTAAATTTCTCGCGGTAAATTTTTACTCGGATAAACTTTACCAAGGTGAGTTGTGGTTACACGTAAATTTATTTACCACGGTTGATTTCCATTTTCACGCGATTATCTTCCCGGGAAACACTTCAAGGACTTTCAGAGCGAGCGGGGTTTTCGGTTTCAAAAAAATGTTGATATCCCGGACAAAAAAACATGACGTAAATGGTGCAGGTTGAAATTTTTGAAATTTCAGAATCAAGTGAACAAGCGAGTGAATCCAAATTCGAATTTGCCCCGCAGAAAAATACAAACGTTTGCTCAAATTAGGTACTGTGTAAGCAAACGATTACAAATGTTTCTCTGACAAAAAAAGTGTGAAAAAGTAACTTATAAAATATTGCGAAATCCAGCCATCACAACAGATCGCAACGTGCTATGACCTGCTATTCTTCTGGTGTTGTTGGAAAGAAAGGCGCTAAATTGGCCCTTGACGATAAACAAAATTCTTTCGAAACTGGAGCTTCGTGAGTGGCTGTCTTACCTTGTGCATCAAAAAAACCCTTGACAATTACCACGTTAAATGTTATGACCGCTTTCTTTGTTCTTTTTTACGTATACATGGATATTTTACACGGGAAATTTACCCCGCGAAAGTCCGATCACACACACACACACTAACATTTGCCGCGGCAACAGTGTCCCGTGTAACCGCACCTAATATTTCTGATCGTGTCGATTTAGTGTTCGCGCTTAACAGTCGATTCTTCGACAAAACCTCTGCCCGGAGATGGAGCATTTGTCAATTATTCTAGAAGCGGTAAATATCGTTCCTTTATCATTATTTCACTTAACAATATCTCTATTTAGATAGCTATAGATATTTCTTTAAATAAAAAGTTTTATTACATATGCTTTAGAAAATATGTGCGGTTTTCGTTTTGCGGGATGGGCACGCTTGCAATCGACTGACCCGTAACAGAAGACTTCACGTTAAAAAATCCTCTAAAAATAGATTTTGTATTTAGTTTTGTCTATATTTCTAGGGTACGCTCTTGTCTTCAAGGGTTGTAGGAATCATATATAAGTAAGTAGTTTTATTACATCGTGGATTTCAACGCCCATTTTGTTGCCGATCTTACATAGCACCGTTCAATACTTTGCCGTGCATAGCATAGACGTTGTTAAAACCAAAGTTCAGTTTGTTTTATCAACTGATGTACCAGTTAATGGTTTGATCCCGGTCCTACGGAAAAGTGACGGTTCTTTACTGCAAGCGAGTTGCCATTTGAGTCATTTGAGTCTAGTTTTCCCCCAGTTTTATCTAGAGATCCCGTTAAGCCTTCAATTCGTTTCAAAGTGGAAAATAAACTTTAGTCACAATTGCATGACAAGCCTAAAGGACGTATGCCTGGCAGGTATTGGTTATTAACGTAATGCATGTCACGGAACCTTCAATGCACGTTTGGGTAGCCTGTCTCTTAACAACTACGTCACATAAGGTCAATCCTTTTTCTGTAAGGTGAATGTGTTAGGTTCACGATGCTCATAAACTTTTTAGGTACCATTTTTGATTGGGAATGGCCACTGCAATGGCATAGACTTCCACAGGCACCTTAAACTGTTAAAAATTAAATTTTTGTGTGACTTGCTTGGCAATTCCTAGATTCTGGTGCATTCTGAGGGTATATTTGAAAATTTTCGACGAGCATTTAACATTTTTACCGGGGAGTACTCCTTTTCCCGGGTCTTAAAAAGCCACAAAAGGTAAGAACACGCGGTAGTTAAATCGTTAAAACAAAGGGACAGTCGATTCAGTTTTGGCTTGTTCAAATTTCATGAGTACGATTGCCCGAGCCCGTTACTAGTACTCCTTGGTTTGCTCGAGATTATTGGAGTCTTTGTACATTGAAGCGTTTCGGACCTTTACGTTGTAGACGCTGAAAGTCTTACCCTCTCCCTAATAATTCATAATACTAAGCAAATACGAAGGTCACTCCTGGACCAGGGATGCCTGCAGCTTGTTGCACGTTGCTGATACTCCTTGTATTGCCGAAAGTCATCTGGGTCTAGATCTTTGCGCACTAAAGCTAAGTTACTGTAGCTTGTTGACAGAAGCAGGTTCAGCACCGAGATTCTTGCGGTCGATAGCTATAGCACGTTCCTGATACTCCTTTGTTTTTTCAAGGTCAGCTAAGTCCCTGCGAGTTAAACAAAAGTTACAGAAGCTTCTTGTAACAGAAAAATGTTCGGCACCGAGCTTATTCCCCTTTGCTTCTTTGAGGTCACATACTTCCTGGTGAATCAATGCTGAGTTACTGTAGCCCATTGCAACAGAAAGATGTTCAGGGCAGATTTGGGTAGTCAGAGCATATTGATGATATTCAGTCGCGGGTTGTTCAAGGGCATTTAAGTCTTGAGGAATGCCTTGCTTAAGTTTCACTGATATCATTTTTATAGCTCGTTGCTGATACTTTTTGGCTTGCTCAAGAGAACCAGATTCTTTGTACATGAAAGCCAATTCGAAGTAGATCATTGCGACAGTAAAGTGCGTGGCTCCTAGATGCCCGACAGTGATGGAAAGCGCCATATGCTGATACTTCTTTGCTTGTTCAAGGTCCCCTATATTCACGTGAATCACAGCTAAGTTACGGTAAATATTCGCGACATCAATAATGACAACGCCCTGCTCTCGCAGTCTCAAAAATAGTCCAGCTAGGTTGTCATGACATAAAATGTTAGAGACTTCAGGAATTGACCTGCAAAAGGCGCGTACGTGCGGAATGATGTGCATGGTGTGCAGTCTTCTATTGATAGGAGGAAGAGCAAGTATAAATTGGTAGAATGAGGTGACAATTCCAATAACGACATTGTGGTTTTGCCTCTCGTGAGATTCACGTCGCACAATTTCGATGGCGTCGTGAACAAGCTGATGTACACGAATGAAGTGGCCACTATCTTGTTCTTCTACAAGCAGTAGTGAGCATCTCATCAATTTCATGAGAATAAGCTTCCTGTTCGCTTCGTCAAAGTCTTCGCTTAAATTCACAATGTAGTTCATTGGTATGTCCACGTTTAGTGGCTGCGGTGCGCAGAGAGAAAGGAAAGTGAAAAGGTCTTTTACAAATCTGTCGGATCTCATCAAAAATTTAACGGCTAGCGTTACTGCTTTGGCCATCGTGTTGGGGTACAATGAGTTGGTGTTAACCAGTGCATCTTCTGTATTACCCCAGTTTGCTTCTTCCAGTTCCGACAGGTATTCTTCCCAGCCAAAATACCTAAACGCTTTGTGCTGCCGAATAGTTCCGACGAAGACTGCAGCGCTAGCTAAAGCGAGAGGTTGATAATCCAGTTTTTGAGCTATTATTGTCCCCAGTTCGCTGTCGGCGACTCCAGAAAGGTTGACCAATAAGGAAAGGGCATCAGCGGGCTCCATACCTTTACTCACTGAGATGTGCTTGATGATGGCGCTTTGCAAAGGAATTGAAGTTGTGTCCTGGGTCGTAATCAGCAACTGTCCCCGTGCCCAAGGATTCAGCTCAAAGTGTGGTAGACGGACAGTTGACATGGTAGTGACATTATCAACCACCAGTAGCCACGAAGTATAACAATCAATTTTTCTAGCAATAAGAAATTCAAGATGGGCAATCTTAGCCTCTCCACTCCCATTTGTTTCAAGGATGTGCTCAACTAAATAGTCTGGGTAATTTAAATGGCGAGCAAATGAGGCATACGACTCCAGAAGTGAATCTTGACTTGCGGCATTTAAGGTCATCACAAATGAAGAACCACCTGGCATTTCGATGACCTCGTCATAGAATCTCTTAGCTACGAGTCCAGCAAGCTGAGATTTGCCGCTTCCAGGATTGCCCGAGATGAAGAACCAACTCAACCCGTTGCCACTGTACTTTTTTAGCTCCTTTAGTCGTTGGATAATTTCGTCTACCTCACGATCTCGATTGCTGATGACGTGTGAGGGTTTAGGAGGAAGAATGCAGAATGAAGGTGCCTTCTCCTGAATTTCATCTTGAAGGACCTGGCGCTGACACTCTTTTGCTTGAACGTCCTGTTTCCGATTATAAACAACTTCTTTAAGGACTTTTGTTAACTGTTTTGTTGGAAACGTTATCTGATATTTCAAGTCTTGAATTTTCACAGTGGGAAGACCAAGCGCTTGAAACGCAACATCAACTTTTCTGATAGCATTCTGAAATTCTATCTCAGGGAGAGTAGTACCTGTTGGCATGAGAGTAAATTCTTCATTCTTAAACTTGCGTAGATCATCCACATTTTTTCTGATTATTGCGCTAAGGCGTGCCCCGACGCAATCGGAGAAAAGGATGGCATAAAATAGCATTGTGCAATCCCATTCCGTGCTGTTTCCGTTTTTCATGGTAGCTAAAAGGTGAGCGTTTCTTTCTTGATTTTGAGGAGACTCCTTGTTATAAAAGTCCTTTCCATTTCGAGGCTCATCTTTCCATTCTCCTAAAGTTGATTTGTACAGTTTGTCCCATTCTTGTTTAAATATCTCTCGCAGACCCTCCACTAGTATATCATTCGTTAGAAAACAAATTCTGTAATAGTTTAGCTGTTCATCGGTATATCCATTTGAAGATGCCATACGTGATGAAACCTTTAAGGAAAATAAACTGCTCTATTAGCATATCAGCTTTAGATTGAAAATTCACTTTAATGAAGTAAGTTGATTAAATAAACTGTGCAGCAAATTCAGATAGTGAAACTGATGTTTAGAGAACTACGACCATGGACAAAAGTCCTTGGGACAGCGAGAGCGTAACTTTAATTCTTTGCGTTTCACAAGTAATGTCGCAAAAAGCAGTGCAGTCATTTTACAAATCCATGTCCCCTCCCCTCTCCTCACCTAATACAATGTTGAAAGATCAATGAAATTGTGCCTTGACGGTTTCAATATTGTCCGTGGGGTGGGGGGAGAGGGTAGGGACGTACAGTGTTAGTAGCGCGCGGATCCAATTTCGCGTGTGTCAAATAGCGTTCAAAGTGTACAACTGTCCCAAGACTTTTGTCCATGATTGTAGCTATCGTCAGAGCGAATCTTCTCCGAATCTTTCCACGGTGGCCAATAGCCCACGTTCGAAAACATGACATGACATTTGGTTTTCTTTGTACCCAGGTCTCTTCTGGGAATTGCGAGATAATGGAGCTGTGAAAATTTTGCATGTTCTAATCGGGTAAAAACATGACATTCTGCCGCCAAACATTCGAAGTTTGGGGTGACGTTAGTCGAATGCTCAAGTGCCAAGTAGGCGGCTATTTTGTCGCCTTGGTTTGTTTTCGATCAACAATATCTTCATCGCAAGAATTTTTGGACGTTAAGAAGAATTTCCGGTGTTATAGAACGGTAGTGGATAAGGTACCGGTTAGGCCGTTTCCATGCGCAGGGATCTCATTAACTTGCGCAGCAATACATTAGAGCCGATGACATCATGCATGTCAAACAGATAGGATGACGTCATAGTTTATTTTTAGCTTGCAAGGAGCAAGTGACGTCAGAATTTCCTAGGGGTTGAAGTCATCAAAAAATGTTGAGATCGTAATCTATAAATAGAAAAGTGATATCATGTCCCTACTTTGTCATGATGATGTCCTATTTATTTAGGTAAGGTGATATTAAAAGGGCAAAAAAGGGGGTTACGCGAATGATCTTTCGGGCAAAACATTAAAATGAGGTCGAAGCGCAGCGAAGCGAAAAACTGCCCACATCAAAGCTCGCAATATGATGCCTTTCCGTCTGAAGCCCGAGACCAGTGTTTCACCCGTTTAGCCATAATGGGACGAAATACGGTAACATATTGGACGACGGCAGACTTTGCCAATCGTGAGACTTGTTGCTTCACAAGGCTTAATGATGACTTTGCTGCAGGCGGCCAAAAAGAAATCTAGAAAATTAACCGACCACGGAAAACAACTTCTACCGCGTGCGCTGATTTCAAATGTCATAGTGTTTTATGACAAGGAGAGAACTATGGGAAATGATAGGTAGGGTAGAGGTGAGGGGTTGGGGATGATAAAAACAGCATATTAAACACAGTTTTGTTGATCTTCTGCAGCTTGTTAGGGGATTTTTGAACTGACTGAAAATATCATTAAAAAAAGAAAGAATTATCAAGCACTGAACAAGCCTCAGATGAGACTGTTGCTAAAAATTCCTGGAGGTACCTTTTTGCAAGTTTTAATAATATTTCCTGCTTGTGGGAGACTGAACTGTCTACAAAATTAAGCGCTCAAAGTTGGAAGACAGGGTGCAAGCCGGACAATTTATTTAAAAATGTTATTGGTGTAAAGAAGTAAATTAGCTTCCAGTATGCACTCTGTACAATTAATCGTTTGGACTCTTACGGTGTGTGACCGTGTCTTTATTATCTAAGAAACAAAAGAGTAAGGGTTTACTTTAGAACAACCTGTTGTTGTTCTATAGAATTTTTATACCCTGTATAATGCTTTCTACAGAGTCTAGTAAACAAAGATTGACATTTTGCTTGACGGGCAGTTTTTCGCTTCGCTGCGCTTCGACCTCGTTTTAATGTTTTGCCCGAAAAATCATTTGGCTAACCCCCTTTTCGCCCTTTTGATATTATCTTACCTACGTTAAATAAATATGACATTATCATGACAAAAATGAGGGACATAATATCACTTTTCTATTTATAGATTATGATCTCAACATTTTTTTGATGACTTAAACCTCTGGGAAATTCTGATGTCACTTGCTTCTTGCCAGCTAAAAATAAACTATGATATCATCCTATCTAAATGACATACACGACGTCATCGGCGTTAATGTATCCCTGTGCAAGTTAATGAGATCCCTGCGCATGGAAACGGGCTAACCGGTGTCCTATCCACTACTTAGAACTCCAAATAATACTTCTTAAAAGCAAGTGTGCTGTTTCTGAGCGAGAAATTATAACATGTTTTTTTGTCTCGTATCCACACTTAGATGCAACCGACGGTACACGTAAGCGGTGCGATCGCAGAACCTTGTGGAGCTCGGGGGAGGGTGGCCCATAAAATGAGAAGTAGAGTTAATTGTGTAAAACGGGGAGGGCGGGTTTCAACAGCAGCTCGACTGTTGGAAGCTGAGGTGTACTCCATCTCGGATTGGTTGGAGCAAATTCGACTCAGTCCCCAGGCTTTAAAAGGAAGGGATGGGATCTTGCACTGGAGAGAATTGGGTTGGTTAAATTGTTAAGGGTTGTGATAGCCAAAGCCGAATAGGTCTTGTGTTCACCCCAATTGACCTTCCAAATTATTGTCAAAAGGAAATGGGTGCGATAGTGTATTAACTGCAGGCTAATAGGCAGTATTATTTGCCTAATATCTGGTCGGGTGAGAGTTACTCCTGCCTCCTCCAATTGTAATTGTAAAGGGTGTCAGTGGTGGTATCTACTATATCCCTAAAATGCAGATGTATATATAATTTTTCACTATCCATTTCATCCTCAATACAGGAAAAAAGAGCTTTGTAACCCAATCTGCACCCCCGTAGTACAGATATCCGAGATCATTCATGGCATCCCTTGATGCGGTCGAATTTGGTGATCATTTGAGGTCGGACATCATTCGCATTGTCAGGATTAACTGTGGCGGTGTACCGATCTACGATGTATTACGGTCTTCCTTTAGCTTAAATGATCATCGCTGTAAACTGAACGGCACTGGTTCACTAGTGTACAAGCCTCAGCAAAATTTAGGTTTCCCTTACATGGCATTAAGCTTGTACCAGCACTTGTCGGTCCTCGTAAGTACTCTTTTACCTGTGCGAAACAGTCAAGGCCACTGAAAAAGTACTTTGATACCTCCTGCGTACGTTTAACCCCTCTAATTTTGGAAGAAAAGGAATTCTGATACCAGAAAGCTCAGAAAAAAAATTCCCAGCTCCAGGTGAGAATCGAACTCACGACCCACTGAGTTCCCGTTCGGATGCTCTAACCACTAAGGTCTAAGTTAATGGAGGCTCTATGGCGAGCTGGGTCGGATCTTAGTAATAATATGTATGACCACTCATTATCGTGATTAGCTCGCTAATAGCAATTATATTGATTAAAGTTAAATAGCACTTTTCAACAAAACCAGACATTATGGCAAACCTGAGTCGTGGTAGAATGGTCATCTCCTTTCTTCTCATTCTTGTGATCATCTGTACTTTCCCTTTCATTAGTACTATCATTCTTCTCCACACGAGGATCATTTTCTTGTCCTCTTTCATCACGATTAGCATCTGTGCCATGCATTTCATCATCACTATCAAAGGGAGTGCGGTTATCTTGTACCTGCACTTTCTTTACCGCTGTCTGTGCCACATCTTTAGAACATCCAAGTGATAATCCTTGTGTCCTCTTCTTGATGGAAACATTCACTGGAAATGCAGAAGTTCGAATTTTAGGCTATTCAGAGTTTCAAAAGTCCTCACATTCATACGACAGGTTACGCAATTAGCCTCGTTTTAAAGCAGAGGCTTGACGCAATTTGGAAATAGTGCAAAAAAAAGTTATTTTTTGTCCTCAAGTTGAGATAAATTTTTTAAATATATATTTTAATGTTATAAATCATTCATTCAAAACCATTTCGCCATTTCTAATTGGGGGTATGGTTCTTTGTTAACAGATGGCGCTGACCAAATGCGTTCTACCCTAAAAAATTTTGAAATTTGAAAGGCCTAAAATGCAATTTTCAGCGTTCTGGGGACTAAATTTGAGGACAAAAGAGCGTGTTTTTCATTCAAGAAAATGAACCTTTTCATTTTTCAGTCACACAATCAATTCCTACAAGCAATGAACAATTCATGAAGACTAAATTACGTACTTTTGCACCTAAACAAATTCTGCGTAAACCTATGAAGAAACTTGTGAAAGAATGACTGAAACACATGACTAAAGCATAACGTAAAACCAGTGGGCCTTTATGAAAACACATCATAATTACGTTTTCATTCAAATTTTCTGACATATATTTTTTGTTAACAACGTTATTCAACCTAGTTGCCTCTTCTTTGTAGAAATAAGTAACCGACCTCTATGAGCAAAGTAGCCGACGCGTTTCGTCCGCCGTCGGTGCTTATTGAAACCCCTGAATGCTGTTAAGTGTGCAAATTTCTCAAGAGTAGCTCTTGATCGCACTCTCTTTTCGCCCATACACGAACACTACCGACCGAATAACTGCTTACATTGCGATAAAGAGTGACAGAAACCTATCCAACGGGTGACGATTCACTTTCAAGGTTGGCGCGGCGTAGGTTAGCTTCGTTACAGAAATCGCACCGAAATCATCGTTCTTAATACGTGTATGTGTTACTGCACAGAACCCCCTATTCGGTATAAACATAGCCTAAAAGCTCTCACGCCTGGGTCTTTCAACTTGATAATAGCTTTTGTACATACTAGTATTCTGTTTGATATCATTCAAGGTAACATTTACTTAAAGCCATGATCATTGACTGTAGTAAACAAGTTCCTTCTTCCTCTGTTTCCTTCTTCGAAACTGTTAGTAAAACCCAAAAAATCTTATGCAAACAAGAAGACACAATAATTTTCCTGAGGTTTCTAACTTTTGAGCGACAAACCTTGGGAATCACGTCATCACCATCGATGCGTTTGTTTTTTAAGTTAATGGAAAACGTAGTCAATTCAATGTCATACCTTTTTCATCCAACACTGTCCAAGATAAATCATTCAATGGTTGATAAACAAATTCACGTTCTTCTTTCTCTGCCATATTTCCCTCCCTTTGAATTTCATCTTCTTTGACAGAGACTGTGATGTATAACGTAAGGAAAAAAGATTATTCTTCTGTACGTAAATACGTGGTCATCCTCGGATACCCAGGGGCGGTCAGTTGGGCCGGAAGAAAAAGCGCGACGAAAGTTTTCAAGCACAGGCGGAAAAGCCCCTGGGTACCGACTCTCACCGGATCATTTCCAAAAGGTCAAGCGAATGCTAGCTCCTGATTGGGCGCAAAAAATGCTTTGTATTATTGTGCCCAATCGGCGAACAGCATCTCCTGACTTCTTTTCGTGAGTTCACACGACGTCTATTGGCTCGATCACTAGCTCATGCACTAAAGAAATGTACGCAGTCAGAAAACTTTCAGTTTGATATAAACTCTCCATTTCAAAATACTGTCTACCCGAAAACAGGCTTTTCCGCCTGTGCTTCAAAACTTTCGTCCCACCTTTTCTCCCGGCCCGACTGAATGCCCCTGGGTCTCCGAGGATGATACGTGCTGCATTCCATGTCTCTTATTATATGTCGCCCTGTCTAAGCTTAACCAGATCCGGGAATGTTTTGCTTGTGGAATTCAGAATCCTTGGGCTATGGAATCCTAACAGAGCTCAAGGAATCTGGAATCCAGTTAACGATTGGAACCCGGAATTCAAGTTCCTTTGTCAAGGAATCCGGAATCAACAGCGTGGCATCCAGAAGTAAAGACTCAACATATGAATAAGTTTAGTAGATGTTTTCTTATATTACCTTTACTGAACATTTCTGAAAGGTCGCCTTCAGAATCGGACGATGGCTCCGCCGAATCACATGATAATGACTCGACATCCCCAAGGTAGCTGCTGTCGCTGTCGTTACGAACATCAGGTTGAGGACTTTCGTCTTCACTGGCGTCACCTTTGCAAATAGGTAACATAATATACGATACAAAGTGAGCAAGTGAACTGAGTTTTTCATTACTCGGCTTAAGGTTTCATTGTGTTGATTCTACACATTAACCTGCTTTGAAACGTTTGCAACTGATCTGTCTCTTTAAAGAGAGGAAAGCTAAATCTTATGTAAATATTTGAGGGCAATAAAAAGCCCACCGATAAGCAATTATGGTGTTTAATAATATAAAATTAAACTTTACATGGCTGAACTTACTGGATTCATCTTGGGGGGAATTAATAGCCGCCAGGAATCCTGGCCAATCAAGTACTCTCTTGCGATCCTCTGGAGTCGGATCTTTAGAAAATCTGTGGGGTCGAAAAATATGGTCTTGAAGGACACTATGTTTTGTAGAAAAACTGATAATCATAAAAGAGAGAAATTTAACGGTAATCAATCATCGCAGATACCATCTTTATCTGTAGGCATAAGGGCGGACACTGTCAAGCTAAATATATGATAAATGCTTTACAGGAAACATATTAGAAGTACACTATATTTTTTTATTATTAAATTCTATGTGTTTGCCCACCATTCCTAGCATTTATCTTATATTTTTTCTAATTAAATCTCGCCCCCATGCATCCCCATGTATCCATCGCTGACAACAAGCCAAGCTGCTTGATAATAACAATAACCCGACTCTACAACCAAATTATCGAGCTAAATGAGCAGTTATAGTCTTTAAAAATTTACATTGCTATCACCATCATATACACCCACATTCTCCGCGTCGAATTAGACCTTCTGTTGTACCTCCCCACCACAGAGCAAAACAACCATCTCGGTTGTCAACTCCAGTTTCAGCTCAAATATAAGTATCTGGGTCACTCTTAACACATCGAAAATAGTTGAGCGCGACGTCACAAGAACGGCTACGTTGGAAACCATTGAAAGGTATTCGCTACACTGTGGAAGCTCTCCCTTGGGAAACCTCTATTTAAGGGATTCCTCTATTCAGGGCACACCAGACTTGGTCCCAACGACCACTGTTGTCTTTAGGGGAAAGGGACACTTTTTCTGGCCCCCAAAATCAGGGTTTAACCTCTAGCCAGGGGACACCTTGGCACTCAAAAAGTGGCTGACCACAAAGACGGTTGATATCTTGAGGTGTACACTTATCACAATTACATGTATGGAAGCTTTCACAAAACTTATCCCCCTTAAATCGATGTAATGCACGTATGTGAATTCAACAAATAATGTCGCAGAAAAGCTATGATAATTTTTTTTTATGTTGTGTTATTAACAAACCCCATCCCAACCTCTACTCAGGGGGCGCTTTCGTCGGTCCTAAGAGTGTCCTCTGAATAAGGGTTCCATTGTATAATTTGTTTCACCACAACAAAGAGAGGGGAAAATCGTTGCGTGACAACAATAAACAGCTGTGTGTGTGACTAACCTTGCGTTAATCTCTTCTAGATAAAGGGCTGTGTTCTCATGACCATGATTCCTAGCTATAACCTCCGGTAATGGGACACTGTCCTTGTATTCGTGAAAAATTACTCTTCCAGCTGATGAATTGAGCATCAACTCAATGAAAAGTTGTGCACCACATTCCGCTGCTTTATAAAGTAAGGTCAGCAACACCTGAACTGTTTCTGTCGAACCTTTAAGAAAGAAGATAGAATTATTTTATGACAACGAGACTTTTTTTGGTGAAACAACACATATGAGGTGTCACAGTAAGAGTTTTTGATTGTCCACTCTCTTATTTGCAAGAATAATGTGCAGGTGCTATGCAGGTTCATGTGATACGTAAAAACACTACTTTGGCCGGTAAATTAAATCTTACCAAAACGTCCATAATTTTGTGTTTCACCACTTCTGGTTATACCATGACCTCCGCAACAATCAGCCAGCCGACTTAAGACAGGTCCCATTTTGCTTGGATCCTTTTTTATCTCTTTGGCAACCCTCTCGAGGCTTTCTTTAAACTCAGGTTCTGGTTTTTTTCTGTAATTCAGCTCCGTGTTCCCCAACAATTCACCAGACTTTGACCAAATTGTAACAGGTTGTACACCCGGCTTATCTGAGGCTAAAATAGAATTTGTGTAGTCTGACTCTGGTTATTAAAATTTTGGCCACTATCAATTATAATCGTTATTACTTATAATCGTTTGAGATAAGTGTCTTAAACACAGCTAGGTTCAGCAATGTCAAGAGTTTCCTGGTTGATGGTGCTGTGCTACAGTACTGTGCAAAAGTAATGAAACCGAAGTTCGCCGAATTTCGTCCTTTGTTTTCGCGAAAGTTCGCCTTGAACGCATTCATAACGAGCTGCACGGTCTTAGCAACCAAAAAAACCCCTCAGTATCCAGCTGAGATAGCTGAGTAAAAGTCAGCTATCTCAGCTGGATACCCAGTAGCTTGCAACATTCCCTATTCCCTTAATCTCTGATCGTATTTCGCATCTAATATGATAGAGGTGTCAATTTTCACGCAATCATGTCATCATCCTGGGGCGACAAATAAAATTAATTAAAAATGCGATATCAAACAAAATGTCCGCAAAAAATAATTCAGTGCCTTCTAAAAAGAACATTTTAAAGTCTGCGGTCGATTTCATTGCCAACGTGTTATATATCCTAGAAGCGCTCAGGCATAATAACATCATGCCAGGACTTCTACCTGGGTGAACAAGAAAGGATATAGAACAACAGCCTAATTTTTTTTTCGGCTACGGGTCGAAACGCTAAACGTGTTATATATCCCAGAAGCGCTCAGGCATAATAACATCATGCCAGGACTTCTACCTGGGTGAACCAGAAAGGATATAGAACAACAGCCTAATTTTTTTTTCGGCTACGGGTCGAAATGCTAAACGTGTTATATATCCTAGAAGCGCTCAGGCATAATAACATCATGCCAGGACTTCTACCTGGGTGAACCAGAAAGGATATAGAACAACAGCCTAATTTTTTTTTTCGGCTACGGGTCGAAACGCTAAACGTGTTATATATCCCAGAAGCGCTCAGGCATAATAACATCATGCCAGGACTTCTACCTGGGTGAACCAGAAAGGATATAGAACAACAGCCTAATTTTTTTTTTCGGCTACGGGTCGAAATGCTAAACGTGTTATATATCCCAGAAGCGCTCAGGCATAATAACATCATGCCAGGACTTCTACCTGGGTGAACCAGAAAGGATATAGAACAACAGCCTAATTTTTTTTTTCGGCTACGGGTCGAAATGCTAAACGTGTTATATATCCTAGAAGCGCTCAGGCATAATAACATCATGCCAGGACTTCTACCTGGGTGAACCAGAAAGGATATAGAACAACAGCCTAATTTCTTTTTTTCGGCTACGGATCGAAATGCTAAACGTGTTATATATCCTAGAAGCGCTCAGGCATAATTATATCATGCCAGGACTTCTACCTGGGTGAACCAGAAAGGATATAGAACAACTGCCTAAATTTTTTTTTTACGGCTACGGGTCGAAATGCTAAACGTGTTATATATCCTAGAAGCGCTCAGGCATAATAATATGCCAGGACTTCTACCTGGATGAACCAGAAAGGATATAGAACAACTGCCTTTTTTTTCTACGCGTCGAAGTTCTAAACGTGTTATTCTTAGAAGCGCTCAGGCTTAATAATATGCCAGGTTTCCAGCGACTGATTTTAGCTGATTTTGCGGTGCGCAAGAATGGATAATTTACCCGACTTGTAAACAGATATTTCCTTCAGCCGATTGTGTCTCATGCAGGAGAATGTCATGTCTGCGTTGTTTTGTTTGTACTGAAGTTTTATCAAAGAAAGCTTAATAGGGAGATCGCAATTTATACTCTTACGAACTATAAATTAGGGCTGACCTGGAAGACGCGTTGAATTGTGCCGCCATCCTTCAAAATATAATCTGGCTGCGTTTCAGGAGACAATTTCCTCTTCCATCCAGATTTACTTGGTATATGTGTTTGCAAGAATCTTCAGACAAAGAATTGGGTATACACTGATTCGAATGGCTTGGCGATACTAAGTGCTTAAGTCTACTTACCGATTACAACATGTTTTGGAAGTATTGAGAAGCGCGCCAAACGAGGTTGTCACAGCGTTCTCGAGCGAACACGGCGCGACCTGGATTGATAAAATTACTATTACATGCAGCTATCATGCCAGTGATTCCTCCTTTCGTCGCATAGTGAATAGTTTGTGAGCACATCCTCGACTCTCGAAACATTTGTCTTGCGCCGCTATAGAAGTTGCTTCTCCCGCGAACCATAGGTAAATTTCCCGCTTAACATAATGTTTGATAATTTATGCAAAAGTTGACCTCGTGAAAGTCAGCAGTGCATTAATCGACTCAAAAATAAACAGACTTCCTACAGGGTTTTTGAACACGGTTTTAATTAAAGTACTTTACGAGCGCTGCGGTAGTTGACCGCAAAAGTGTTACGGTGATGGATACTCAACTGGATGATTACGTCACTTCATAGCAACCAGACGGTACGAATTTTTTAACTTCCGGAGCGCTGAGGCTCGTAGTGAAAGTCTCTGTTGGTCACTAAGTGGGGCAGGAACGCGAGAAAAACCCTAGGAACGTCTGCGTGGGAGGCTAGTCTTCAATGACTAGTTCTTTTTATGAGGTTGTGAAGTAATCCGTTGAACAAAAGCGTACAGTTATACTTAAGCACTATGAGCAATTTCAAACCCCTATAATTGTACCCCTCTGATAAAGCATTGTATCCACAACATATACATTTTCTTGCATGATAGATCAAGTATTAATTAGAGTATCCAGAATAAGTGGCAATATGTATTACAATACGTACGTGGAATATAATATCCATCCCAGTGTTTGCCTTCCTTATTTAAATCAATAGTTCCTAAATTTCCAACAGCTGCATGTCCCGAATCAACCCCAGGTAACAGCTCAGGTATGAATTCAAAGCGACAAAAATATCCACCCTAAATGCAAAATAAAATAAGACAGTTTTAAAATTACGGAAGGAACACTTCATTAAGTAGTATTATTGCTGGACGATTGGGTAGGTTTATTCTGAAAAAGATCAATAATTGCCTATGATTGTAGAATGTACGTAATTTAAGCTAACTAAATATTTACTTGTTTTATTCAGAGGTGAAAATACCCTGGATGGCAAAAGTTTTATTTCTGTTTGGAGGGCGAGAAGACCACTGGCATCCATGGTAAGGTTAAAATAAAATTGAACATACCGACAAATCTACTTCGCGAGGAAACATGCTGACTTTCCTTTGAATATCGGCAGGAGGAATCAATTGGTCCATGGCTGAGCGATCTGCATTAAGCAGGAAAAATGAACTCCTTGTCAGTGGACAGTGGTCCATGTCGTAAAATCATGTTAAAATGAGTCAAAACTTTTGGGTCCGTTGAACTGATGGATACGATACCCTTGATGTTGTACTAACTGCACTTGGATCTGTCCATCTGGGCTTATATAAATAATGTACCCTCTTAGTAGACCAAAACTTTTAACCATTAAACAGATCTTTCAGTCAAATGGGGATAAGGCAAACGAAGCAAACCCGGATCAAACCCGGCTGGCTAGAGGAATTCAATGTGTATAAAATGCTTTGGACTAGCTTTTTGAAACTTATGATAGATACCATAAAAAGCGAATAGAAACGAAATTAACTTTCAACTATGGTTTCATTTAACATAATGGGTACTGAAATTCTGTCGTTCATGACTACTTGGTCAATACTTAGTTTGACACAGGTAGAGCGAAAACATAGAAAAAGACCAAAGAACAGTACCCAAAACATGGGGAAACAGTAGTAATGCTTCAGCAAAGATAAGCCTTGTTACGGCCTAGGTGCCTAGGTGCTACGGCCTAGGTGCCTAGGCGTCTGGAGTGGGTTCCCTTTATTAATATGCATAACGGTCGAGTCAATGACGTCACCCATTGTTATAACCTACATACTAATTAAGTGCCTTCCTGCATATATAATGAAGTGGATAGGTTTACTAATGAGCGTCACTCTACTACAATAGGAACAATAGGCTTTCCTAGACTTGCCCGGTAAGTAACTTAAGCCCGGTTTTCGGACCGTCTATTAAAAGAAAAATAGGAGTAAGAGAAGCGATCACCTAGCAACGCGAGAAACGGCTTCCTATAAACAAAACACATACAGAAAGTAGAGTTGAAAAGTCTTTATTTCAAGTTAGTTGATGTCTTTTTTTAGCTCTAAAACTCGGATATATATATAAAACAAAACATTCACAAAGGGGAGCTGAAAACGCTTTATTTTTCAAGTTTGTCTGACTATTACAGAACTGTTTTCTCCGTTTTATCTTGAGGAAATGAAAAACTATTGAAGTCTCAACGTTTCACGCACTGTGAGTCAGTTAATTATGCGAGTTCACAAGCCCAAAGTTGCATACAAATTAGCTCTGCAGGAAAAACCTCAAGGGAGCATATTGACGTATTATTATAAAACAAATAACTTAACAAGGATCAATTAAAACACGCGACTAATAATTGCTAGCAATAAAACCACAAGAGAGATACCGTTTTAAAAACATTATTAAAAGTCAATAACAAAAAGAGTCAAATACACAGCGATTTGAAAGGAAAAGGGATGAAAATTAATCCATTGACTGACTATTACAAATCAGTTTTTTCCGTTCCAAAATAATCCTTCCGTGTCTACCCAATTTTCCTATGGCCTCTAAGACAAGAGTTCGACTTTCTTTGTTTCTTGCACTTTGTCTTGTTCTTTGTAGTTCGTCTTTTAGCTTTTGCTTTAAAGAAGCTTCATCTCTTCGTGACCTTGACAGTTCGTACACTGTTTCTTGTGTCTGCACTGGATTGCGAGTACTTGTTGAGTGATTTTTTCCGGAATTATCCGCTTCATTTTCGTAAACGACGACTTTAACTTTAGGTTGTAGTTTCGCCTCCTGTAAATACTGTCTTCGCTGTATGTGGTCTAACTGGTGAACATCCGCGAGATGGTTAGCTAATCTGACAAGGTACTTCGCCCCGCACGATGAAATCGGACAGTTTCTGCAAACTCTCTTGTAAACCATGTTGACAGTTCGATGACTGAATACAAATGACATCTTTTTCGCAAATAGTCAGGTTATATAGAGTGTCAGAAAGGCCAAACACAGGCCAGAATGGCCATAACCAGGCCTGAAAGGCCAAAACCAGGCCAAAAGGGACAAAAGGAGACAAACGGGCCATTTCTAATCATGTGTCTTTTTTCTCAGACACACGCGTGGGTGTCGCACTTCGCTAGTCACGCAACAACGGAGACTCGCCTGAAGTGGCCCGCATTAAAGCTGAAAATGCTTTGCTTCCAGTATATAGAAAGGAATTGAGAAAAGTGTTCTTAGAGTTTTTACAGTGGATGCATGCAATGAAGAAAGATCCGACATTCCGAAAAGTGATGGAAACTCAAAAAGAGCTTAAAGACACAGAAGGATTTGATTGGTTGGAATCGACAGAACTAGCCATCGATAAGCGAAAATTCTTACTCAATCGACTGTATCAACAGCAGCCCATTCCACAAGATGAAGGCTAGTCCAACTATGAATGTTGTAGAATTATTTTTCCTAGACCTTTGTATTGTTGCGTTTCAATAAAAACTGTAAACAACCAAACTTTAAGAGTGTTGTATTGCTGACTTGAAAATAATAACAATAATAGTAAACTTGTACAATGAATAAAAAAATCTGAAATTTGAAATACCAATTACTAATTCACGGTCAAAACTTTTTTAATTAGGCACTGTTATTTGTGATTACACTTAATAAAGAGGATGATTCCAATGTTGAGAGCTGTTGCGTGACTAGCGAAGTGCGACACCCACGCGTGTGTCTGAGAAAAAAGACACATGACTAGAAATGGCCCGTTTGTCTCCTTTTGTCCATTTTGGCCTGGTTTTGGCCTTTCAGGCCTGGTTATGGCCATTCTGGCCTGTGTTTGGCCTTTCTGACACTCTATATAACCTGACTATTTGCGAAAAAGATGTCATTTGTATTCAGTCATCGAACTGTCAACATGGTTTACAAGAGAGTTTGCAGAAACTGTCCGATTTCATCGTGCGGGGCGAAGTACCTTGTCAGATTAGCTAACCATCTCGCGGATGTTCACCAGTTAGACCACATACAGCGAAGACAGTATTTACAATAGGCGAAATTACAACCTAAAGTTAAAGTCGTCGTGTACGAAAATGAACCGGATAATTCCGGAAAAAATCACTCAACAAGTACTCGCAATCCAGTGCAGACACAAGAAACAGTCTACGAACTGTCAAGGTCACGAAGAGATGAAGCTTCTTTTAAAGCAAAAGCTAAAAGACGAACTACAAAGAACAAGACAAAGTGCAAGAAACAAAGAAAGTCGAACTCTTGTCTTAGAGGCCATAGGAAAATTGGGTAGACACGGAAGGATTATTTTGGAACGGAAAAAACTGATTTGTAATAGTCAGTCAATGGATTAATTTTCATCCCTTTTCCTTTCAAATCGCTGTGTATTTGACTCTTTTTGTTATTGACTTTTAATAAAGTTTTTAAAACGGTATCTCTCTTGTGGTTTTATTGCTAGCAATTATTAGTCGCGTGTTCCAATTGATCCTTGTTAAGTTATTTGTTTTATAATAATACGTCAATATGCTCCCTTGAGGTTTTTCCTGTAGAGCTAATTTGTATTCAACTTTGGGCTTGTGAACTCGCATAATTAACTGACTCACAGTGCGTGAAACGTTGAGACTTCAATAGTTTTTCATTTCCTCAAGATAAAACGGAGAAAACAGTTCTGTAATAGTCAGACAAACTTGAAATAAAGCGTTTTCAGCTCCCCTTTGTGAATGTTTTGTTTATATATATATATCCGAGTTTTAGAGCTAAAAAAGAAGACATCAACTAACTTGAAATAAAGACTTTTCAACTCTACTTTCTGTATGTGTTTTGTTTATAGGAAGCCGTTTCTCGCGTTGCTAGGTGATCGCTTCTCTTACTCCTATTTTTCTTTTAATAGACGGTCCGAAAACCGGGCTTAAGTTACTTACCGGGCAAGTCTAGGAAAGCCTATTGTTCCTATTGTAGTAGAGTGACGCTCATTAGTAAACCTATCCACTTCATTATATATGCAGGAAGGCACTTAATTAGTATGTAGGTTATAACAATGGGTGACGTCATTGACTCGACCGTTATGCATATTAATAAAGGGAACCCACTCCAGACGCCTAGGCACCTAGGCCGTAGCACCTAGGCACCTAGGCCGTAACAAGGCTTATCTTTGCTGAAGCATTACTACTGGAAACGAAGCACACAAAACTCGAAAGGGGAGCTTCTTGGACTATCAAAGCATTACTAGAGTTCGACTTTACAGTCTCGAGCGACTTATCTCGACTCCAAGGGGAGGTACGCCCACCCGCCCGTACAGAATTTGGGGAAGATGAGGGGAAACTAAGTAAGGGAGGGGAGAGAAACTTGCGTTTGTCTTGGGGTAACCAAGAGGTAACCAATGAAGTTACCCCAGTGAAAATCTAGATTGAAGTTTCTTGTGTTTGACTTACGACAAATTTTTTTACTGTGATCGAACATAGTTATAAGAATTTCAGCTCGATAGAAGATTTTTCTTGTTTTGGTGTGTTTGCGGGATTTGTTTTGAATCACCCAACCCCTCCTTCAAATGGTATTTTAAAAGGACCTCCTACAGTGAAGTATGTATCTGCGGATTTTTTTTCATGGCTTAAAGTTTGTAATTGCTTTTTTAATATATTAATTTAGCCAGGGCTAAAAGCGAAGCTCCTATTAACTTGAATTTATAATTTAAATCAAACAATAAACTTGTATTCCACAAATCAGTAAACTTTAGAGCACATTCATGTGACTTTTGAGGGAAAAGCTAAGTGATTTTAGAGAAAAATAATTTTTTCAAACAGTCCATCTAAGAGTGAACTTAATCTTACATCGAGTTGATAGCCTTACATGTACACCCAAAAAATAGCAATCGGTCACATTTAAGAGCCATAATGGCTCTTGATCACAGTAGATTAGGCCAGGAAAACAAATTCTTGGAAAACAAATCAGGCCAAATTTTTTGCGTTCGACATTAGTTAACTTTACAAAATCTTGCCAACAAGTCTGGGGACGTGTAAACCAACTGTTTATATACTTTTTATACATCATATCTGAGGTGAAACAGTACTACGAGGCGCTGTTTTTATCATACAGACCTCGGAAAGAATGCAGTATTTCACAATTTTGCAATACAAATTGCACTAATTATTCATTACGATTGAAGCACGCGCGGGCTTTTAGCGAAACCGTTAAAAAAAAATTCCAAAAACACCTATACGAATAGCCGGTTCTCACTTTTGACAAGCGCCAAAGTCGACTGTTTAAATCAAGATTAATGGAGTTATACGCTTCCTCATAATAAGGAATTTATTATGTTTATTTTTTATTTAATGGTTTTATAACGATGTGTAATCTTCAAAAGCGTTTGATACGTGCGGCATTTTGACTACTCCTGCAAGCGATGTTTTTGAGCGACTGAAAACAAACGGCACAGCGATTAAAATTGCGAAAGAGACTACTAACAATCAATAAACAAGTAGACAATAGACAATAGACAAGTATTAAAGTGTCTCTGAAAATCCTTGTTAATGTTTTAAGCCGGCTTCCCGGTGTTTGCTTTTTTCAAAGATGAACTCGAGCAAGAAAGTCGCTCAAAGCTTTCTTTTAACAGCGAGAATTATAACTAAATATTCTTTGGAATGTTTTCTTTCTATTTGCGGTGAGAAAATGTCTAAAGGCCTTTTAAAGTTCTATCGGTCAGATCATTGTCTCAAATCACAAAGTTGACACATAACTCTGTCAGCTTCAGCTGTCAAAGTAAACAAGATTTAAGATGCTGCATAAATTTTCCGCATGAACTCACCTGTCAAATTTTGACCAATCAGAGTACAAAAATTGGACGTAGAGCGTGACCAACGCGTGACCTTGGTGAAAAAAGTTGAAAGCAACTGGCATGTCTTACCTGCCTGTAAAAACTGGCTGAATCTTAGCTTCCGAGGTCAGTTTGAAATCAAAATTTTAATTGTGCGGCACATATAAAACACAACATATTTCATATGAATTAAAAAAAATTAAACTTGAGCCCGCGATCATTTGAAAACTACTAACTTGTCAGCGGATAACTTCAAAAAGATACTCGACCTCGATGAGTCGACGCCTGAGCCTGCGATACGGTCAGGTGATACTGGTCAGCGGATACCCGGGTTTGACAGCTGTCAATTGATCACAACAAAGTGTGCAATATCAGTCTTCCTGTGCTCCCAAACTAGCTAGAAAGTGTGAGATTGAACATTGGTTGCCCTGTGGTGCGGACGGACGGACGGGCGGGCGGTGTACGGTCACGTGATTACCAAATTTTCTGGGATGGGTAGATTTACTTACTTATGGTGCTCCGCAGGCGCACTTCGCGCCAGAGCTCCGCTATAGAAGTGTATTGGCATACTTGACAGAATTAAGGCTTACTTTCCAAGAACAGAACGTATACTTATAATTCTTTAATCAAGCCATTAATAGCGGACCCCGCTGCGCGGGAAACGCGCACAGCGGAGCACCATGGGTGAGAAAATGAAGTAGTTTACCCATCCGAAAAAATTTGGTAATCACGTGACCGTATGCCCGCCCGCCCAATCGTCCGTCCGCAACACAGGCATGCCAATGTAAAATAACTCAATCAACAGGTATGGCAACCCAAATGCAACTCGAGGTTATTTCGGCGGGAAATCGCATAGCCACCGGCGTCTTGTAAAGCAGAGACAACTAAAGAGTCAATAAAAACGAAAACGGAAAGCGGAAATTGTTTCTGTATCCGTATTGCCTAAAGTATTAAGCTTAGATTAATTGTCACGTCCACAAATTTGGAATATAGACCAAGAGAAAGACAGAGGAAAAGAGAAAGTGGGCGGCAGGCCAGCGAAGCTCTACGACAAAAAGGGCAACAGAGATCTAAAGCGAGAGATGAAAAAAACAAAGGAGACAATTTTTTGTTGGAAGAACAACATGAAAATTGACCACTCCAGAAAATACCAAAACATACCATAATGCTCTTTGTTTGTCACCCCAAAATTTTGCATCAGCATTGTTTTCAGTTTCTCTTGGGGTCATTTTAACTCCCAAGAGAAACTGAAGACAAAGTATATGCAAAAGTTTGGAGTGACAAGCAAAGAGCATTATGGTATGTTATGGTATTTTCTGGAGTGGGCAATTTTGTAGCGGCGGTGACAAAATGAGAAATGCTAGCGGTACCAATGCAAGGTGAAAATGAGCGGCAGTGAAAAAAAGTGAACGAGAACACGTACGACATATCCTCCATAAAACGTGTAACTAAGAAGTTTCTGAAGGTTCACGTTGTAGTCGTGCCAAGCAACGGCAACGAAATGTGCAAAAAAAGTGTGCTGCACGTGCAATGTTGGTTTTTTGCTAATTAGACCTATTGCTGTTTTACACCGTTCTCCGGCGTTGACTTCGCCGCTTAGCATTACACGATTTTATATTTTGTCGAACAAACTATAAATGTCATCGAGAGCTTCGCTTTAAGCCCTGGCTAAATCTACATATTATTATATTGTAGCGTAGCTTGAATAAGCTGTTGCAGCTAAGACAATTTTGTAAGATTGTCGTGTTGCAGAAACGCTGTGCGCGTATTATTCTAGACGCCAAAAAATATCATAGTTAGCGTACATGTAGATCTGTTCAATACCTTAGGATGGGTGCCATATTACGTTGAGTCTGATATCAAAAGATGCTCGATAGCTTACAAAAGAATTAGTGGTGCTTGCTCTGATTACATAAATGACCTATTAGAACTAAACAGCAGCCAGCATAGTAGAAATACACGAAGTGCCAATCTTAACATGATATTGCCTAGAGGATACAACAGAGCGAAAGAGGGGGTCGCACATTCTCTGTACAACTTCTTAACGTTCGAATCACCTTCCGCTTAAGATCCGTTCCTCTTTATCTGTAAATATTTTAAAGAGTGCTTTATATAAACAAATTCAATTAAGTCTGTTTAGGGATGGAATTTTTGCTCCTTTTCTAGATAATCTTTAGATTATGTAGTAATATGTTCTTACCTTTTACTTAGCTTTTATATCTTAATCTATTGTGTATTTCTTTTGTCTTGTAATACGTATATTACTTATTAAGAGGGCCACAAAGATAACTAGTTGACAAACTATTAGGTATTACCCTTTATAAATAAGGTCTGATTGATTGATTGATTGATTGAAACGTAGGTCTGTAATATGAACAAGTGAAGCGTGAACTGAATCGCGCTTATTGGTTGGTAACGTCTGCGAAGCAGTACCGAGATCCTTGTTCTGGGCCACCTAAACGCTCAATCTGATTGGCAAATAGACAATGGCTTTTTGCCAGGCCAATCACGGCTAATACAGGAACTCATATCCTGGTACACAGGTAAGGGCTCAGAACACGGATTTTGGCACTGTTTCACGGACGAACATAACCAGAAGTTTAGTTTTGTCTATGGCACAGGCTAAGTGATAACTAAGTGATAAAGGTGGAAACAAATTGCTAACCTTCAGAGGGATTTAATACAGTATCACCATCCGTTGTTTCTGTTGTTTCTGTAGGGTCTAAACTGTTACCAAGCCCGCTTGATGTGGAGTCATACCCGCTACCAATCCCCGTGTACGAGGGGTCAGAATTGGTACCATACTCATCAGGTGCCTATCAATTAAGAAAAAAAAAACCTCACGTGTTTTATAATATATATTGATAAAGAGCCACCTAGTGGAAATACTGAATAAAGCCACGTGCCGTTATTATTATTATTACTATTATTATCTATTATTATTATTATTGTTATTTTTATGTAGTTTAAGCCAATGCTAGAGCTCCCGTTAATAAATTCATAATTTATTTCAAACAATACCCTTGCAACCATTGCAAAGAAATCCACTTGGAGTTGAGCCTGCGATCAGTTGAAAACTAGTAACTTTTCATCAGAGAACTAACAAAAATACGTAGCCTCGAGGAGTCTACACCTGAAACCGCGATACGGTCATGTGATATTGGCTAGTGGATATCCCGTTTTGACAGCTGTCAATAGACCATAGCATGGATGTGCAATATTTACAGGTTGCGGGCTCCAACACTAGCTAGAAAGTGTTACACATTGGTTTCCCTGTAGTGCGGATGGTTGGACGAGAGAACGTACCAAAATTTCTCAGATGGATATATAATCAAATTTTCTTAGCTATGAGGCTCGGCTATGATCAAAATCATAACAAAAACAGTGGAAATATCATCACTTTGTGAGTACAAATTTTGGCACAATTTACAACTAAGTAAAAACCAGGGACGTCAAAAGAAACAGCGACGTCATAATTATTTAGCAAACCATAATACAGCATTATTTGTAACCTTCCAAAATATTTTTGTCGAAGACTTTGTTAAGCGCATTAACTACATTAGCTATTAACCAGATGCGATCCAAAAAATTCGTTATCTCACACGCTCACTTGATTACTTAGAAAGCATTGAAACGTTAGACGTTGTCACCGGTTACAACAAGAACGCGTACCGTTCCTTGCAGGATTTCAGAAGCCACCGGCATTTGGACGGTGTTGTTCCCCTGGGGTTGATGTTCTTCTAAAAAATTCAATTCCATGTTTAAAGGTGGTGCAGACGGATGACATGGTGGAGGTAAAGTAATCGGATGAGTAGCAGGTTTTTGATTATCTTCATCACACGATGGTGTGGTCTGTAATACACGTCCATCTGAAAGAAAGAAATTTATCATTGAAATTCATGTAGGTCAATGCTTTGTCGAAATTCAGAGACATGTATTATGTAGTTAGTATTGGCAGAGTTATCAATTACCTCCTCGAGATCCACCGTTTTCCAGTTGAAAATCATCAATATCTGTCGACTAAAATTTAAGCACTACTTCAGTATCGTTACTTATCCATAGATTGAAAAAACTTGCCAATACTGGCGAGCAGACTGTTGTCATTAAGCATAGCTGTTTGCATCGAATGTAATTTTTGTATTGGGTTTGCCTACGTGATTTCAGATTTTTATTCATGCCATTTCATTGCTTTTTAAAATGCCAGGAGTTAAAGAAAAAGTGAAGACGCTAATTTTCTTAAACCCTTTTCGTGGCCAGTATTGAATTGTTCTTTCCGATGTTGTGTCTTTTGCTTAGAAAGTTAAAACAACTCAGAACGGAATAAAGTTACCTCTGAAAAATCGTCAAAGACATCTATATTTGGTTCTCCACTGGTAGTATCTCCTAGAAAGGAGGTTATCCAGCTGAGAGTACTTGCATCAGACTCGAAATCTGTAGAGGATAAACTGAGATGAAAACTCTATGGGCTCGTTATTCAAACGAAGTCTAACTTAGGCTTTTCCAGTCTACGCTTTATGCTTCAGTGAAATTCCACGATAAATTGGATTTAGTTAATAGCGTTGGGCAAACTGAAGAGGCCTTAGAACGAGGTTTTGTTAAAAACCGTTTAAATAACTGACCCTATGGGTTTATTGTAACGAAGATTTTCACTCAGTTCATGCCGTTCTTACACGCACGTATACTTTTAAAAAGGTCTTCAGTTTTCGAAAACTGTCTCAATTCTAAAACTCCAAGGGGCCCTGACTTTCTGCTGTAACAAAGCCAGATATTCAACTGAAAGGGAAGTTTGCGCCGAAGGAACAATTTTAAGATACATTCTTAATAGCCCACGTTGAATATGATCATGAATAGGAGGCTTTCTCGTCATATTTCCATACTTGGGCTATATTCACACTATACCGGATATTTTTGTGTCGTCAATATTGGAGAGACAAGATTGCGTTGTTTTTGGTACAGCTGCTGACTCGTTCCCAGTCGTCTCTCACAACCTCCCCCTAGAGGCGCGCGGGGTGAGTTGGGGAGAAGGAAAACAAGGGAGTCTCTTCTCTTCCTCTCTTCTCCCTTCCCATCACCCCCTGTTCCCGCCGTGCGTGTTACGCTCGAAGACGACTGGGGACGAGTCAGGTAGAGCGGTAGAAAATGGTGCTCTTCGTAAAGTGAAGAAGAAATAGCCGAACTTACTGACGGAAACATAGCAAGAACAGTACGAAAACAACAACACGACGTAGGACATCTGCTATTTGGAGAATATCTGCACCGCTTTGTATCCTAAATTTGCCCAAGAACAGGCAAATGAAGGAAAAAGAGAAAAATGAGGAATCACTAGTCGCAGCAAAGAGTTGGATCACGAATTGTTAAGTTCAAGACCATGCAAGAGAATGTGTCAGTTTTCACCCGAACAGAAGCTTTTAATTACGCTTGCTCTCCATGTTCTTTGCATACCTACTGGCTAAAAATAAACTTAAATACCTGAACTACAGCTGGGAGTTCTACCCACTGGGTCTAAGACCTATAACAATAGTAGAAAGAAGAACGACTATTAATAATGTCAAAAAAAAAGCAAAATGTTGACCACATGAGGCAGCAAACAAAGCCATTACCCAGGATTTACACGAACCTTTTTGATTAGTGGTATCGATCTTGCGTTAATGTTTTTTTTTTCTTATACAAGGTGACCTTGCTACTTAGTATGCCATACAAAGTGGGCTAAGGAGGTAATAACGACGCTGCCGGTTTGAATGGAAGCTTCTGAGGAATAAGGTTTTCTCCCGGTACATAACTGTTTACTTCCCTGTAGACTGAAGTATGAATTTTAAACACTACAATAAGCTAGTTGATTCTAGTTTCTTCTTTCCCGTCTATCTGTATTAAACAAACGTAAAGTGCAGTCGTTGGACCTTGTCGCCAAATCCGATGAAGAGTCCATATTATTTTAGGTTTATTAAAATCAATGCCACAATTGAGGATTATGTGAGTGCTAACCAAAAACCTCCCTCGTGGTTTGACAGTGTACAACTTATAGCGGAGCTCCACGTGCGCGCGAACGGAGCCCCATAGTTAGGAAAATTCGCTGATCTATCGATCCGAGACAATTTGGTAGTCACGTCATCGTACGCCCGTACACTCTTTTTTTTTTTTTTTTTTTGGGGGTAATAAGTAGACTCTGCAAGGGTGACCGGGAATCCAAGATGGGCAGCTTGCGTTTGTCTTAGCGAAAGATTCTCAAGGTGGTGGAATTTCAAAATGAGTCAGCCAATGAAGTTTTTCTAATTGAGATCTTGAATTTTATCTGTTTGACTTTCGACATACGCGCCCCTGGAGTTTCAATCTTGTCTCAGATTGGTCAAAACGGAGGAGTTAAAAAATACGACGCGCAGCGAAGTATTTTTGACGAAATTCGAGGTGTTTCATCTGGTGCTGAAACACTGTGTCGAATACTTGCTATTACTTCTCAAACAAAATACTTTTAGAAGGGGAAATTAAGAATGCAAAAATGAACAGTTTTTCATCTGATTTGCAAGCACTCATTAAACATTTATTTCCTTTGTATTTTCTTTATGAATTATTAATGAGTTTGAAAAGTTTGTTTACCGTCGTGTACTTAAAAATTTTAGACTTTTTGTGTTCTTTCAATGCTTCCACAACGTGAAATACAGCCGGTATCAAGATTCTTTCATCGGTCAAGGTTGGTTTGATAGTTTTTTTGTTTATTTGTGGTTGAGAAGACTGAGGAAAGCGTGGCATAAACGGGCGGATTCATATTAGATAACAGCGTTTTTCAAAGCTCATTCCAGCTTTACTGACCTAACTTACTGCCTTTGAGGGCCTTTTCCTCAAGTGAGGTTGATTATTTATTGTTTTTTTCTATCTGGTTTGATTTTTTTATGATTTCGGGCGTTATTATTTACTGTCACTTATGATGCATGTTTTCAAGATTTGACTGAGCGTCCATGGATGGCCTCTGGCCTATAAACAAGTTAAAATACACACGCTTTAGCTTACGTTTATGACTAATATAGAAGTGCATGTCTGACTCGTAAACAACACAATATGGCTTTTATCTTTTATGCACCATTTATAGTATTCGTCTTTTACCTCATGGTTAGACGCTGATGCTCCTACATGTCCCGGTTCAAGCTTTTTGTCAGTAAGATCGGTAAGATTTGTGTATACAATTTCCTCTGTGCCCTTTCTGCTCACGTCAGTAGTTTGCTTTGGACGGTCAATGGATCCGAACAAAAAATTACTTTGTGGCGAAGTTGGCGCTGGACGATCATGGCTGTCTCCGTGCGAGTTTTCCCCGTCATCTACCCTTTGCAGCTCAGTGACTTTTTCTGAGTGCGACGCCTGAGGTTGCAAAGAAGGTGCATTGGTGATCCCCAGATTGTTCATTTGAACCGATAACAATGAAGTTGTGGCATCAGCATTGAGACAAGAAGGTTGTCCTAAGCTTTTTTGATCAGTTGTAGTGGAAATGTTATTCTTGGGAAACAATGTTGTATAATCTAAGAATCGGAAATAAATTGTACTTGTAAGCATGTATGATTACTTTTTCAAAAACAGTTGATAAATAGGGGATATTATATGGCCGCGTTAACATAAGAAATTTTTCTTCGAGCGTTAAAAATTTACAAGTGAATTATTTTTGAACGCGAGAAAATAAATTTTATATCTCCAAGCGGCCATGCAGTGTTTTATTTATTATATAATCACCAATGAAATCCCAAACCATTTCACTTTCATTTTTTTTACAATGAAAGCAATCTCGACCCCCAGAGCGCTTCTGCGCATGAAGGCCAAGGATGAAGAACTCTGGGGAACCCTGGAACAAGATTGTCTCTGATTGGTTTAAGCAAAAAGCTAGATTGTTAACTGAGGGTTGATTGCACTTCTTCAAGATTCGCAACAATCTGAATCAATATTAAAGAGAAACATTGCAACTGACAAGCCTGAAAACAAGGGTCGAGACACTTGATAGTGTTGGCCAGTGATATTGTCGTGCTTCGTTATCCACTCGAATAGTATAGTCCAGTTTCGAACTCGTCGTGGCCGCTCAATAAATGCGTCGAAGACTTATTTGTACAGAGTTAGCCTCGACTTAAAGTAAAATATTCACAAATACCAGTGAGAAGGTACCTGAATCTATTAAAACAATTGACACAATTGTAGACAGGTCTTCTTCTGACTGGAATTTGTGAATATATTTACCTTAAGTTGAGGCTAACCCTGTATAAACGAGTCTTCAGTGCCTCTATTCAGCGGCCGCGGCGAATTCGAAACTGTACTAGTTACCTGGAAGTATCGGCAGCTGTCGTTTTATTTGATGGATGCTATTATCTTTGTTACTAATAGAAGCAGATGGAGGAGGTCTTGCGTATGGATTTTTTCTTGTAGCTGGACTTTTTAAATTATTTTTGTGCTTTAAAACGCTTGTGGTTGTTCTCGTTTTCTTTGACAGCTGTTGATCAAATCGCTTATTGGTCTGTTCATACGTGCACTTCAGTGTTGGCCCTTCTCCTGACCACTTGGGGTTCTGTTGGTCAAAACATATAAATAATTCCCCGTGAAACATCATTATAAAGATGAAAATTAATCATTTTAACGATTTATGTACGATGTGCGGTACAATGCAAGCATAGGTTTTAGCTCGAGGGATGGGTTGGGGGAAGAAGGCTCCTCTCATTCAGTTTCTGCGCCTACCCGTTACCCCGACAGTTTTCTCGCCTGCTATTTTGCATTCCACAAAAACAGAGACAACAACAAGATTACCGTCTATCTGACCTACCTGGCCTTTTCTTTTTTGTCAGGTTGCACTAGAATAATAACCCTGGTCCCAGAGGTTTTTCTTGATTTTTCTTCGCGAAAGAGAGAGCAAGCCACCAAGCGGCGACAACGAGTCGCGAAAGCGACGAGGAGAAAGGGAAAAACCCCTCTGGTTACCTTGGCCTCGAATCTCACTTTCATGCAGACGAAAGCTGTCAAACGCGTCAAATTGCTAATAAAAAGAGTGAACAATGGCAATTTAGCAAACAAGTGCTTATTAGCCGCTATTTTTTTAAGCGGGGGTAGACCTGGGGAAATTATGTTATGAACAAACCATCTCCACTTGGGTGGTAAAGAGTGATTTGTTAATCGGGGTCAAGCTAAAGCATGTGTTAACAATGGGCAACAAGAGTCCAGGAATAAGAACACCACTCAAAAAAACCAACATTGTTCCAAACGACTGCTGCAGGATTTGCAGAATTTATTTAAAAATAAGTGGCCGATCTAAAATCAACGTTTTTGGGTGTGATAAAAAGGATTTTTCACAAACATTGTCATCTGTTCTGTCGGCTGATGTACATGACTTAACGGGATTATCCCAGATAATCTGTCAGAAGTGCCAGCGGGAAGTTGCAAAGTTTGCAAGATTCTTAGAGCAAGGCAAGGAATTGGACAAATTTAGAGAAAATATAACGACGCCATAAGAAATTGGTTGGCAGAGTACCAACTAAAACGACAGAAGCGCTGCGCGAAGGATTCTCCGTCGCTCGACCGGCAAGAAAAAAAATATCCGCGTTGCCGGATCCGCGTAAGATTGTCAGATGAACGCTAATTCCACGGCAAGCAACTCAAAAGGAGAATTTTGAGCCGTGGCCCTTTAGTTCTTGTGATTTACTTTTTGATGGTAACCAGGAAACCAGAAAAGCAGCTGTGACAGGATAAAGCTTAGAGTGAACGTGAAGCAGATGGCAATACGCAAGCTTCTATTTTAATAGCTAGTAACAATTTCATCATAAAAATTGTGTTGCTAAGCTTAATTTACCTATTGTTTGTTTATAAAGACCAGCCCAGCATTTTCTTGGCTGCAGAGATTCGTTTTTAAAATGGTTGGGGTAAAAATCGCGCTTATTATATTGTTTACTTCTGGGCACGCCGTTCGCGTCGATTCGCAGGCATTCCCCCCAAAATAATAATTTTAATATGTATTCTGACAATCTGGCTCGCATTTTGGTTTGGCGGCTCCATTTCCTTTTTTTTGTGGACCAACGTCGCTAGGAAGAGTTATGCAGCACAAAAAACCCTTAAGGTTCGGAATGTACTTTCAGAGGTTTTTGTTGACCCAATGCCAAAAATAACGTTGGTTAGATCTTTAAAGATAAATATTGAGCGTCGCAGGAAAATGCAAGCTGCACCGAAAATGATTACATACTTGCACAAAGTTGTAGGATTTTTTTCCTACAAGGAAACTTTCATTCCGTATTCGGAGATTTATATTTTGCTGCGCTAAACAAGTTAGTTTATTTAATGGAATGGCAGTATTGTAACAGAAAATGGTAAATACATCTGGTCGTCAACGTCTGGACTGCTCAAACTAGTTGCTACCTGTGAGAGTCCACGGTTTCGCAGTTTGCGGATATGCGAGTCCACAAGAGACTTGAGAGGACAGACAACCAAAATTATTGCATGGCGGGGGTATGAGAAGCCTCTCAAGGACAGATACTTGTAAACATCAGGTAACGACTGAAATATTATATACTTCCCATGTCCGGTTGGTAAAATGGTGAACACATTCGTTCGACACAAGGCGGCGAACAAAGCTTTCTTTTGTTGCTCAGTGAGACTCAGGAAAGCGCTCATCAAGTACCGAGGTCAAAATTTGTTCGAATGTTCTTTCAGGAACAACATCCTTGTCAAAATCGCGAAATATGGCATGCCTTAACGTGCCTTGGTCCCGTGCAAATGTTATTGTGACGGCAGTATACAAACAATTTTCTTCCCTGGTAAAGAGAGGCGAAATTTACCTTCAGAAATAAGGTGTGATTACCCTCAGCGTCCCCTTGGTCGTTACAATTGAACGAGCCAATCAAATTAGTTTGCGTGTTTGAAAAAATATCAACCAATCAACGCCCGAGGGTAAGATCCTGACCCTGTCGTCTGCATGAAAGTGAGATTCGAGGCCAAGGTAACCAGAGGTTTTTCTCTCTCTCCTCGTCGCTTTCGCAACTCGTTGTCGCCGCTTCGCCGCTTGCTCTTGATCTCTTTCGCGAAGAAAAATCAAGAAAAACCTCTGGGACAAGGATATAGAATAACTGGATATTACTACTATTCCGTCCTTCCTAAAAGAAGCCAAAGTGTTTCCTAAAATATTCCAAATTTCATTTTATTTTGTTTTTTTAATTATTTCAAAACCAGTTTCGTCGGTTTGAACAGTAATATTATAGTTCAGTCCCTTAAGAACCAGCTTATTCTTCAACATGATAATAGGTCAAGAGTTCTAAAACCATTCAGCTGACTTATTTTGGTTTTCGTGGCGAAATCTACATTACTCGAAGTTAACCGAGGAAATAAGTGGCAGATAAAATCATATGGCGTTCGATAATGGCTATTTTGCGCTCTTCTCCGCAGATGCTCCTGCTGGGTATTCCAATAATATATAGATGTAGCCAGGGCTAAAAGCGAAGCTCTCGATAATATTTATAGTTTGTTCAAACAAAATATAAAATCGTGTAATGCTAAGCGGCGAAGGTAACGCCGGAGAACGGTGAAAACAACAATAGGTCTAATTAACAAAAAAAACAACTTTGCACGTGCAGCACACTTTTTTTGTACATTTCTTTGCCGTTGCTTTGCACGACTTCAACGTGAAACTTCCAGAAACCTCTTAGTTACACGTTTTATGGAGGAAATGTCGTACGTGTTCTCGTTCACTTTTTTTTTCACTGCCGCTCATTTTCACCTTGCATTGGTGGCTGCTAGCATTTCCCATTTTGTCACCGCCGCCACAAAATTTTCACGTCGTTCTTCCAACAAAAAAATGTCTCCTCTGTTTTTTATCTCTCGCTCTAGACCTCTGTCTCGACCCTTTTTCTCGTTGAGCTTCGCTGGCCTGCCGCCTACTTTCTCTTTTTCTCTGTCTTTCTCCTGCTCTATATTTCAAATTTGTGGACATAACAATTAATCTAAGCTAAATACTTTAGACAGCACGGATACAAAAACAATTTCCGCTTTTGTTGTCTCTGCTTTACAAGACGCCGATGGCCATGCGATTTCCCGCCAAAATAACCTCGAGTTGCATTTGGGTTGCCATACCTGTTGATTGAGTTATTTTACATTGGTATGCCTGTGGTGCGGACGGACGGTAGCTCGGGTGGGCGGTCGGTCGGTGTACGGTCACGTGATTACCAAATTTTCTGGGATGGGTAGATTACTTCATTTTGTTACCCATGGTGCTCCGCTGGAGCGCTTCGCGCGCGAGAGCTCCGCTAAAAATAAAAATAATAAAAAATAGCGACCGCTTCTTGTTCTTGCGGTGGAGAGAGAGGCTATTTCGCACTTAATGGAAAAAGCATATGCACCCACTCCTGATGCACCTTAACATGAACGGATCATTATACATTTCTGGGAAACTGCCCACCTACCCATCCCCTAAGCCAACATTTTGCCCTAAGTGAGAGGAAAGCGTTAATGCTGGCTTAAGGGAGGGGCAGGTGGGCAGTTTCCAAGAAACGTATAATAATCCTGACCCACGCATACATTTCTATCCTACTTCTAGTCTCTATCTGGTTTCTTCTAATTAATAATTCATTTCAAAGTTTCATCAGCTTTACCTGAGGATGATGCGCCGATGACACTGGAGTGGTATCCCGTGCTGTCCGAGTTTCTGCAAATGAGAGTGAAGATAGGCATGTAAGCTCAACGAGTTAGTCAGATTTAGCAGTAAGATACTTCCATTTTTTGTAAATATTTTTTATTAATTGGAAGAGGCAATATAAATAAAGCATTTGGACTACCTTGCAGGTGAATTTACCTTTTTCCGTTCAGTGTATAGCGGCAAGGTCAAATAGCTTATACAGCTAGTTACAAGCACTCCACTCAAATTACCAGAAACAAATAAGCCAAATATAACATAACAGGATTAAAAATTAAGATGGCCAACCGGAGGCAGCCAGTTGGTTATTTCCATTTGTGGCCCTGGAATTGATCTCGGGACAAGTGGCCACATGGAGAGCGGGACTCGAATCTGGGACCGCTGGACATTGCGTCCGAAGCGCTGACCACTCGGCCACGCTACCTCCTCCTTCTCCACTGTACTTACGGTGGCCCAGCAACAATGTCACGTCGATTTCAATTTCCTCATGGGAATCTGAATTTGCACACGGCAATCATGAAGTTCAAGAGCGCTTACCATTTGCATGGAAATTTTGGTGGAAAATTTCCGTCAAATGGTACTGGTATTTTTTTTGGCACCGAAAACAGGAACGGGATTGAGTTGTACCATTTACAAAATACCGGTAAAGTTTCCGTTTTCTCTGGACATGAAGCCTGGCACTAGTAACCCAAACAAATGGAACAGAAAATTTCGTTTCGGTAAAAACGGGAAAAAGGTAATACCTCGAAAGATATTACTTTTTTTGCGGAAAATTTCCACCAGGATGAACCGTTCGATTTAAATTCTCCCAGGAATTTCCGGGTTTTTCATACAAATGGTAGGCGCTCCAAGATTTCTCACGATAATCGGGCCCCATGTCAGCGGAATTATTAATAAATCTCAGTGGATCTTGCGCTTGTAACGTATGAAGGTGACGCAAACAAGAGATCAATGGTCAGGTGTGACCGAAACTGAAATAGCCGCGAGCGAAGTTGGAATCGCTATGAGCGAGATTTATATTCCCATGAGTAAGTCAAACTGATTGGCGAAAGAAATTTGCAATTAGAGTGAGTAAACTGACAATTGCAGTGACACCTTTGGGCCAATGTATCTATAAGTACTTCTAAGGAGTATGGGTGTATGGGAAGTAGGTAATACTTTGATTCTTGACGATGTGATTAAAGATCAAATCCACTAAACGTAGCAGCAATGTTGCAGGTCTGACTGGCAATCTATACAAATTAGCTGTTGTAAATTGAGATGATTTCTGGCGGAACATTGACAAAACGTGTGGAAAATTTACAGACATTTACTACGCCATTGCTTGTTCTTTCTAAGAATGTTGATTGCATTGAAAGATGTTTCAATCTACTACTTTCCCAGCTAAATTCCCTAAAATTGTTGTTAGTTATTTTTCATTTCAATAAGGAAGTAGTAATTGTTTCAGAATTGCCCAAAACTAAGTCTTGAAGAAAGACGATTCCATTATTAATAGTAGGGATAACCCTAAAATGTTTAGTATTTTAATATCGAGCTTCTTCAATAAAGGACGAAGAATTGGGTATCTTTACGGTTTAATTTAGCAGCGGAACTGGCTTGTCCCTAGGACTAAAGGGTGCTAAAGTCCCATCAAAATCCTTTCTTGGGTTCCACATTTTTGACTGAGAATGATTCGAAAATAAGAATTTAAAAATCAACCGTGGATTTCTAGGTAATACCAAAGTACTCTAAATTCTAAACAACTGGCACATTACCTGTTGGTAGTGACGATGCCGTCACATCATGCACAAGTGGTGCTGTTGCTGTTGCTGTTGCCACACCTTTCCTCATTGACCCTGGTAGTGACCCCGTATTTGAACAAGATTTATGATTGACGGATGGAATGACTGATTGACTTGAAACTGTCATTTGGGATTGGTTATCAGTTCCGTCGATCTGTTCTGGAAAATGCTCAGATAACTGTCCTGCTACTGTGGGATTCTGTTTGTGAATAGAAATTATTTTTCATGAAATGATAAATTACCAACAATTGCCTAAGTGACAACAGGTTGATAAACTGAACAGATAAAAAAAATCTGCCCCATATGATGGCGAAAAAGAGCAAAAAATGCTGGATCATTTCAAGGTGCTTTTGAAACTGTGAAGTATAGTTCAATTTAAGATTATTTCTGCCCCGAAATCTGAAATCGCACCTGGCTCTTGTTACGCACAAAATGCGCCTAAGCGTCATGTGAGATCATATCTGTTTAACTAGAAATGCGAGTGTCGCAGAAACCCTGAAGCGTAGTGGAAATCCACCTATTACAAGGGGATGTGTAAGTTGTTTTTCAAGAGATAGAGACCTTACCTCTTCAGCAAAAATATAGAGCACTGAGTTTCCCTTTATTTTCTGCTTTATAAGACGTCCATCCCAAATGCGACGCTCTCCATGGAAGTCCAACCTTGTTCGCTCGTCAACTGCTGCTGCACAGTAGAATCTAAAGTAAAAAAGGAATTAAATAGTTAAATTTAAAGATAAAAGGAAACAGATTAAAAGGCTGGTATTTACTGTTTGTGAAATATTTATTATATTCAATATATAATAATGTCGTGCTTAGTGAAGCCACCGCCTTTTTGCGATCACCGAAACTGAAATCAAAGCGACATTGACTGTTCTTCGCTTGGGAAGCTGGAGCAAAGAATACCCTGACTACAAGATCATTATATCATTATATGAGAATGAGGTCATTACAGGGAAATCTCAGATCTTGGCCTTGTCTGAGATTTCCCTATAATGACCGAACGGATGAGGTTAATAAGTTATATATTATATGGCCTTTTCAGCGCCAATATAAAACAATGGAAGTAATAGAGCCTGCGATCAGTTAAAACCAACAACTGGTGAGCAGACAACTGAAAAGAATCCTCACCTCAATGAGCTGGTTGGGGCAAAGTAACATCGATCCACGGAGGTTTTGTGTCCAGCGGTTTTAGTAAAAACAAAGTGTTTGTGGGGGTTGCTCAGTCTTGCGGGCTCAAAAGCCTCCCTTAGGTCATATTTTTTTATTTGCCCAATACCAATACCCTTTTTGACAGCTGTCAATTAGCAACAACATAGATGTCTACTATCAAGTTAGACACGGACTGTATATGCCTTGGACACCTAGCCAATAATGCCCAGTCATTACAAGCAAACAATGCCCACTTAGCGACCAATCAGAGCACGCGTACTATTGTAGACATATAATAAAGTACAACAACACCAGCAGGGCCCCCCAACATTAATCCACCCCTTAAAAAAAAAACAAAAACAAAAACAAAACACACGAGAACATCTCTTTAAAGATCAAAGTTTTAGTGTTTCCGGTGAAATTCATTCCACTGTAACAGTGAGGAATGTCATAATTGCCCTCTCTTTATTTTAAGGTTTTTTAAAGTGAGTCGACTGGATTTTTTAGGAGAAAAAAAGGTTTGAGCATTGACTACGTCGGCATGAATAAAGATATGGGAAAAGGTTACCACAACTGTATTATATAAAGATGAAATTTTCTTATTATCCCGGTTTTATTGCAATCGCAGTCGCCATGGCAACGTAACGACGCCATACCGTTTTATTTTATATCTTTGTGTTTCTCTGTACTAGGGAAATTGCTCTGGGCGATCACGAGTTTGAAGAATTTTATAAACCTGCATTCAGCTGCTTGTTGCAGTTTTTGCACGTAATTTGGTTCATGCCTACAAATTTCGCATTATTCAAAAAACCGCTCGAGAATTTTTTTTTGATACACTTGACCATCTCGAGTTCAATCATCGATAAATATACCCTACAAGTTTCAAGAACATTGAAAACAGGGAAGGCTTTTAAATAGGGCCTCAAATATAACCAATTTTTCCCCCAGATTTTTTGTTTGCAAGTGAGCGTCCTCATTATTCACTGGCATTGTTTTCAAGTTTCAAATGAATGTGCACAACGAGCAAAAAAAAATTGCATAAAAAAGAACTCGCGATTACTTTCCGAAGATATATCCAGAATATGCTAATAAATGGCTCGTGCCACGGATAGCGGTGAGAGCCAAAACGGTGAACGTCACCGTTCATCGTGTAGGATGCAAAACTTAATTATCTTACTCGGGTTATAACATCACAGAAACTCTTACAAAGAGTTGCTGTGATGTTATAATATATCAGTAATTTCTTTACCCGGTTATTAGCATATTCCGGAGATTTTTTCGGAAAGTGACCGGGGTCCTTTTTGAAACTTAAAAACAATGCCAGTGAATAATGAGCACGCTCACTTGTAAACAAAATCTGGGGGGAAAATTGGTTATATTTGAGGCCCTATTTAAAAGCCTTCCCTGTTTTCAATGTTTTTGAAACTTGCAGGGTATATTTATCCCACATCTTTACTCATGCTGACCTAGTTAATGCTCAAACTTGGAAGGTATCCCCCTAAAAAATCCAGTCGAGCCATCTCAAGTCATCCACTTATCTATTGCTTGCGCTATCATGACGAGCTTGCAATTTAACCTCACCTGGCCGTAGTATTACATGACAGAAAGATAGAGTTAAGGTAAAGAGACGGCAATCATTTATGTACAAATTTATAGCTCACTTAATTTTTTTTTTAATAATGACCGTTTCGTGTGAACAGTATCGTTACCTTTGACATTCGAGAAAGGGAAATGTCTCCACTATTATCCTTTTTATGTCCTTGTCCGTCATCCTTGAAGAAATCTGAACATTTGTTTTAAACTGTCCCTTTTCTGCCTTTTTGAGTTTAGCCATTTCTATTGTGTTCGGCATGAACACTGTGCCATCCCTTTCTACAACATCACAGGGCTTCAACACCACAACATTCTTTCCTGTTGGACTTCCACGTTCTTTCTTCTTTTTATGTGGAGCTACCCCATTTGCTCCAGCTTTCGACTGTTCCATGGAATTGGATGTAACCTGTTTCACAAAGTGGTATTTTAATTTAATGCGAACTAGGAGAACATTCAATTTTTAATGTAGTTATAGGGACAACCTACCACTACGGATCTAAGGATAACTAAATTAGTTTCTAATCCAGTGAATCGACTTTTAAAAAACTTCATAATATGTGAAGATCTGTGTGTGATGCATAGGAACACAGAGCGATTATTGTGAACTTTTTATTTGTATCGTCTGTTGAAGCAATCAGGCACCTATGTTAAGCAATTTTGAAATTATATTTTTTTGCAGGCATGTTTGGTAGCCAAGGCTGATCTTGGGCAGTACTTACAAAATAGTTTTTCTTAGGGGGTTTTACTTGTATTGGAAGGACTGTTGTCGTGTTTCACACTCGTCCTCAAAAAATATGTTCGATCTGCATGGCCCAGTGCTTTACAGCGGAACCTCGATACTGCGAACCTCTACATGGTGGCGAAGTCCTAGGTATTACGAACGATATTCTCTACCCCGGTAATAGTAAAATAGGGAGCTTTTAGGACGACAGCGACGGCAACGAGAACTGCCAAAAAGCAATAGGTTTATTGAGAAAAACAACAAATTTGCACGTGCATCATACTTTTTTGTTTATTTCTCTGCCGTCACTGCACGACTACGACGTGAAAATGCCTAATATCACGTATTATGAAGGACGCAAACAAGCGACGACGATTTTTCTCTCTCTTTCTAAACTTGACTGCGGTCTCCAAGAAATCAACTCCAGCAAAATTCACCTACATTTGACATTTTGAGAGAAATACAATAAATGCAAAAAAGTTTGAAAAAACGCAAATTCATTGACGTTTTCCGGCTGCTGTCGCCTTCGTCGATGCTAAACATCCCCAATATAATGGAAAAGAACCTCGTTATGGCGAACATATTACGCCTGTCCCTTGGCCGATCAGGGTTTGGAACGTCCTTTACAACACCAGTCCAGCGCCCACCGGCCCCCCCACCCCTTCCTCTCTTACAATATCGTTCTTCGTTGTATCGACCCACCGAGAATCCACTGTAATCATTTCAATGGTCAACAAACACAAAAATGCCTACAGCCACTTCTGCAGCGAACATCAAAGAAGTGGACCTTAAACATTCTAAAAGATCCCGTGTTCCTTTTGCAAGCAACCAGGACGACTATCCCCAACAATATGGAGCACAAGCCTTAACACGCACCCTTGTATTCTCTCAGTTTCCAGAAAAGTGTGGAGAGAAATTACACTCTCAAAAACATTATAAAAATTGACAAAAATAGCCATCGATGGATGACAACTACAGTATCAGGAACTGAACAACTGCTCGAATTATCCTGAAACTGCATGGAGATCGAGGAGGATGTAATCCACCGAGGCTGAAGGCTGGGTGGATGACAGCCTCTGAGATCTACCTCATTCATAACATCATACGAAAACCGAATTCAATAATTGTTTTATTATTCATTCAAAATATTTCTACGTTCTTAACAAGCTTAACTCCTTGTAGGCTTGTGGCCTATTTCTCGGCACGGTTTCAGGAGGTAAACAGATGTTTTTTTCTTGCAGTTACTTTTCAAAAAGTAGATAACATCCACCGAACGATATGTTTTGCGTATTTTTGCATTTATTTTGTGCAGTTTTAGTAAAAAAATTCAGCCATTTCTTCTTCGGAAAGCCGTGAGCGCCATTCTTTTTAGTTTCGCTCGTGAATAAACATCCATTCAACCGCGCCTGGAAACGAGGATGGTCGATGGACTATTGCCAATGTAGACTCATTTGTAATCAAATATACCATCGATCAACCTCGTTTTACAGTCGACTTCCGATAACTCGAACCCTCGCCAACTCGAAACAAAATCGATTTCCCCTGAATTCCTTCATACATTTACCCTTGGTAATTCGAACCCTCGATAACTCGAACCTCCCGCTAACTCGATCGAAGTAATTTTTGTTTCCCTCAGGACCATTTCTACATAATTTTACTCTCGATAACTCGAACCATGTTTTAAGAGCGTGACAAGTCGAAAAAAGGCAGCGAACTGGAGTCCAAAACATTGAATTTCTCTCAAAACAACCGTGTATTGTCCAATTCAAATCACAATGTTTAGCACTGTATTGATTAATCAAGCTTTGTTGCTTAATTTCTTTGTCAAAATATCAATATATCTCTTGCTGCCCTTGAAGTGAAGTGCGCATGATACTTGCATTCCACCCCCAACCCATTTCCTTAATCCTGGTTATTTGCTTGGACCTCCCGATAACTCGAACTGTTATGGATTTCCCTTGAAGGTTCAAGTTATCGAGAGTCTACTGTACGATCAAATCAATGTTATATTGCGCGCATCTTCCACATTTGGTCAGCGCTTGCTGGTTATATGAAGAACCTACCATGAAGAATTAGCCGGGGGCTTCATTTGAGCCAATCATGCAGAAAGGGAGAAATATTTGAATGAATATACTTTTATCTTATCGTTACATCTACCTGGGGGCCACCAACTGATGACACTGCAATGGGAATGAAGACTAGCTGAGGATCCACACGTGGATGATGGTCTGAGGACAAAAATAAAAACATTAAGCCCAGTATCTACATGAAAATTCTCCTGACTGATCGATCCATACATTTCGTTAAAAAGTATTGAGAATTTGCTAACAACAAACTAATTCTGAATATATTTTGACACTGTTTGAAAAAAAATGATGTTAGTTCTCGAGGGCCATTAGTTATTCAGTTGAAGTACTGTCATGTGTTACCCTCGTTGAATAAAGTTGATTATTATTATTATTATTATTATTATTATTATTATTATTATTATTATTGGGACTTAAAGGGTCAAATCAGATACAGTGGGATAAGTTGTACCCAGCGTCAATTTACAACTGAATTTATTCCCATGTTTTTATTCTTCTAAGTTTGTTCCTCAGTAGTCTGATTGTTTCGTTCATGTATTTTTTTGGAGAATGAGGGTGGATTTCTACTTTGCTTTATTGCTTTCTCGAAGGGTAGCCAAAAGTAAATGTCACGCAAAGTGGAAGAACTGTTATGTGATACTCATTAATGGAGAAGGTACTTATTTTGTTTCATTTTTTTAGTGCTTATTTGTCCTTCAGCTTTCTTTATCCGTTCCCAGCAATGTCACCTACGCTCCCCAAAGGGATTTATCTGGTTTATTGTCTGTCCTTCAAAGCCCTCGGCAAAAACCCGTGTTTGAAGATTCGCTGAGGATTTTGCAGTGTACGTTGGTCATGGAAAGTCGGCAGTTCGTATTAATTGTTCCAAACAAGGATGACCAATTAATAGATCTCAGAATAGAAAGAAATGCTAGCATACTACATCACCTGTTGGGGCAATCGGCACATAGCGCCTAACTGAATTCGAAGCACTACTGGTCTGTTGGTCCCGATTGTGCTCAGGAGGTTCTCCTGACATCGCGGGATCAATCTGTTTGTCAAAAATAAAGATTATATCAAAAGTAAATTGATTATTGACAACTAACAATCATTCAATCAATCTATCGTGTATTAATGATCCACGTAACGTCTAGTGAGCTAAAAAGCTCGTTCAATATACCATTTGAATGCGTACGTGCCAACATAAATTATCTTTAAATACAGAGAATTGAAAATGTATTATAAAACAGAAGAAAGAAGAAGGATAGATTAATAATGATATGACCGTTTGCGAACTGTGGGATGAAAAGAGGGTGTATTCGCCAACTAAAGCTCATGCAGCAGCAACCTCGTTCCCAGGGTCCTGTTCTACATTTCCCCTCTCTCGCTCCGGGGAAAGAGTAAGCTGATGCAGCAGGTCGACTCTACAGCCAAATACTAGAGATATTGGCTCTGAGTTGCGGCATATTTTTCTGATCGGATCTCGGTTCTCTAAAAAGATAGTTCCCAATTCCCGCATAGTAAGATCACCATATCCCGTGTCCCCTTCATAATTTATTCAGTCCCGCATCTCATGCCTGAAATAAGGTACTCAGTCCAGAATTTCTTCGCTTGAATAAAATGCACATTGATTTTCTTTTGCTATATATAGGCACAAGTCTCTGAGATATGTCCAAGATTGAAAGCAGTCGAGTCTCTTTACGAAGTTGCTATTCTATAAAACAAGGAGTCACCGTTGGACGAGAGTTGTAAGCTCGAATGTTAAGAGTTCCCTTTTCTGAGTCTTGAACTGCAATAAAACCAGCGGTGGATGCTATACACAACTATGATCTACGTATGTGGAATAGTCGAACGCTTAACTGCTGCTTCTTCTAGTTTGTTACAGAGAAATAAATAGCAATTTAGCCTTCACTTAGTGATCAAGAAGTGTGAAGCGAAAAAGGACACCCATTCAGAGCTTCACAGGGTTAGCACCTAATTGTTAAGCATGTATTCAAAAGCTGTAAACCTTCCTTACATTTCTAAGAAAAAGAGAAATTACCTTTCGCCCTTAGGCGGAAGTAAAAACCAAAGATTTTCTATGGCTTGATTTGTCTGTCACCACTTCTCTGAATGGCTCATGCTATTCAATAAAATCTAAAAATCTCGAATATTGAATCCATGATAAGTAAAGCTTTGCATAGCAGTCATTATCCAATATTGAAATCTGACATATCGCGTGATACGCAAAGCCAGTCACAGACACAACGCAATACTCAACTTTTTTAATCCAAAGTCACTTGCCACTTCCTGTACTCACAACAAGTCCCCTTGAATAAATCACCACCATCAACCCATAAAGTTTCAAAACTATTAGAAGGCAAACGTGCTCTAGATCTCTTTTCCTTAGTACATCAGGCTGATAGCGTTTTACTCCCGAAGCAAATTAAAGATGTCACGAACCGTGTACAGTTCAGTCACGTGTTAGTTCATCTTTTAGCGTATTGGCTCTTCAGTTCACAACTCAGTGACGTATCATTGAAACTGTTCGTGGTCATGTAAGTCACACCATGCATCTTCCTTTTTACTTCGATATGTTAGCGATATTCTTAAATATCTGCCTGCTGCAGATACTAGATACTTTCGTTAAAAATTTCACTGAATTCATAAAAACCGATGCAAAAAAACCTTTTCGAGTAAAAAGATATCATCTGAGGCAAAGCGTGTGTCGGAGATCAGCACATGTTGTACGAAGCTTCACTTAAGTTTGTTTTCATACTACAGTAAAGCCCGGGGGGGAGGGAGTAAAGCTATCGCGCGGATTATCTTGGGAGCTTGAGTTTTATAGTTTATTACAAATTATATATTAAGCCTACTTCTGAGAACTCGGTCAGAATATTTGTCTCCCTAAGTGCCAGGGAGAATGCGAATTTTCAGCTCGGCAAATTACTGAAAGGACGCTAAAGCTACTTTATACTCAGTTCAGCTTATTAGTTTCCTAATTACAACTTAATCATTTTACCTCAGAATGACCCATCGAATGATGAACCAATTAGCGTATCTTTCGCGTAGTGATTTGTAAAACGAAACTTGTTTAATGGGTCTACAGAAAATGTCGAATATCAACCGTAAAGTCCGAAAGCGGACACACTCGTGAAAATAATTTTAAAATTAATAGTTCAAGAAGTGTCGTACAAATTCATTATAAGATGGAATTTTTCCCGGATAATGCAAGAGAAATAGCACTAACTTTGCTTCATGAGAATCGAAGAAAAATGTGCGAACCTCGAGGTCGACCTTCGAAGAAAGATGTTTGAAGTATTAGATACAATGCTAGAGACAACGTATCGAGTTAGCTTAACCCCTCACTTGTGTTTTCCATTCGCCAGCGATGAATTATACATACAAAATTTCATTGAAACTACCAGTTTTTTATGTACTTATGGACCACCATAATTAAGCATTTTCTTAAAGTTTTACATAAAAGTATTCTCTCGCCTTACCCAAATCTCTGCTCCTCAGCTGGTCGAAAC